TCTAGATTTGAATGCATTTTGTTGGCAAATGTGTACATATTGGGTACATAATGCACTCTACCTATCCTTATGGCTTCGTACAAAATAGATAAAGCCAAAAGAAATTTGACACGATGATGCAAGAGGAAAGATTGAAGCATTTTTTCTGTTTACAGCTTAAGAATGGCAACCATCATTGGATCAACCAGCTCAACATCCTTGACTGCAGTTTCTGTCTAGTCCAGCTTCAATAGTTTAATATCTCTTCTGACAAGCTGTTTTTCATACCAGCATGGTCGTGGAATCAGCTGCTCCTTCCAACCTCTACTGCCCAACTGTCTTATTAGGCTACTATTATGTCTTGCAAGCCAACAACAGCCATTCAGAAGGAATGTTCTCTTACAATGTAATCTCACTTGTATCACTCAAGGTACGAGCCCAGCCCTAATGCGACCATGAAAACACTATGAACTGATTCATATTTCATGCTTGGCTTTTTCACATAAACATCCTTTCTCGAAGGTAACCCACTCGAATCAATTCTGCCGCTAGGTTGCTTGGAAGAAGTCCACATGCATGATATTTACGTACAGAATGAGCTTGTGTGAGTTGCTGGCTGACATTGCAAGAATAAATGCCAGATCGAGTTAGCTACTGATGGTCACGCACGATTGACAAGCAACTGCAACATTTTGTTATTCATTGCAGCCCATCATTATATTCTCAATTATGACCTAATGACCTGTCTTGAAAGTTAAAGCTTCATTCGACGTAATAGTCACCTACACTAACTTAGTCATGACACCAGTTGAAGTAGACGAGTAGCACAGAAACTCACTTTTACATAAATTGCACATGTGTGGCTTGATGATGGCAAAGTAGTGACGCTATGATATAAATACTTCCAGTAAGGTAGTAATCAATGCATAAGGTACATTCACAGTGATGATGTAAGAGAAGGAGCATGCTATGGATAGCTGAGATCCGTCCTTAAGCTACGCAACTTCTAACGAGACAAGATGTCCTAGTGTGAGTCACTTACTTTCCGTGAGGAACCAATTGACTGTTCACACCTTAAGTATTAATCAGATACTACCATTAGCGTCTAATTATATACATACTCAGAGGTAAATATATCAACAAACTGTTTAGCTTTGTATAAGTGATACGATATCACATAGATAGATTAAGATCCTAGCATAGTGTATCCTTCACAAACCATAAATTAGGCAAAACATAGACCAAATTAGGAACATCTTACTAGCTTTTGAGATCAGCTTTTGTTTTCGTTTAGTCTATGCTTTTTTTGACCATTTAATATGCTCATGCAAACCGTGAGAAATTAGCAGGGTACCTGCAAAACCTAGGTATAACAGGTCTGTCCTAAAAATCTTGCTGAGCATTCCTCATTCAGCCTCTCCTCTACACACAGGGAATTCTACTATATGAATTGCTCAACTTCATATCACGCAAAACGCATAAAAGGTTCTTCGGCCCTTGGTTTGAGAAGGATAAGTCAAAAACAGAATTAGTAAGCTTTGAGCAAATGAAAAAACAAAAATTTATGGTTTGGGGAAGATCAATCGAAACCAAAACGCATATCTGCTACTAAATAAGGTTGGCTCTTCCAATGCCAACCTAGGGCGCAGAATTGCTTGTGGCTAGGAAGGAATTTTAAAAAAGCTAAGAAATTGATTTCATATGGTGCGCTGGCGACTAGGAAAAGGGGAAGACTTTCTTCTTTTGGGCTAACAAATAGGCCTAATAGAAAACTTTTATTGGATAGTTCCTAAAGGATAGAGTCCAGAAATGAGTTGAGGCTAACACTTTGATTAGTTTTCACAGTACAATCTCAAAATGAGGCTGTGATGCGCTAGTTCTTGGTTAATTTTCTTGGAAGAATCAAATCACAAGCCATTCAGATGGCAGAAGAATATAAGACTCATAGCCGGCCATCCATCAAACTGGCTAAGGATATTTAAAATTTGGGCAAATTTCACTTTACCCCTTGTGGTTTGGCTCATATGTTACAGAACCATCCCTGTCAATTGAAAATAAGCACAAGACCCTTGTAGTTTGTGGACCAAAACAGACATCAATTTTTCCATCCAAATTAACGGGCACCACCTATGTGTAGAGTAAGCCATTATTTGTCATTTTCTCCTCTCTCTCTCTCTCTAATGTTTCTCTCTCCACAGTTTGAACAACAGTAAAAACAGAAGCCCATAATAGTTCATTCTACATTAATGTATTATTTAAGGGTCATTTTCCTTTAAATATTTAAAAAAAAGGCAAACCTTGAATAATACTCACATTTGTTGTAATGATGTGGACAAAAACTGCCCACAACAACCGCGGAGAAATTTAATAGATCGATACATCAGTCATGTGCAGACACCAACCCCCACAACAACCATTGCCACACCCATCTGACTTCCCTTGTATAGTGTTTGCTGTGAAGAATCCACTCCATTATGCAAACACTGGAATCATGCTTAACTTTGAAATCTGCACCACAGCAGACAATGATATATTTGGTGGGAATACCAACATGAACCAAGCAAGCAGCAAGACTTGACATATTATGCACCTTGGTAAAATCCTACAAGTTCAGCATGAGGCTAAAGTTCATCCCTGTGATTTACATGTTGGCAACAACTGAGAACCAGAGAAGCTCCCATAGTGGAACATGTTTTTGACAGAGAATAACCAGTAGCATTTGACAACAAACCAACCAATGCCGTCATAGGAAAGTGGAAGCCAGTTAAAGTAGTGGCTGGAAAAGCAGTAAAAAAAATTACTTGAACAGTTTTTTTTTTTTTTAATAAATTATTTTTTTGAGGCCAGAAAAAACAACAGACCAGTAAAACTTCGTAGTTCATATCATAAGATGTGAAAGAGTAACACGCATGCATTCAATGATCATTTGCCATCACAAACCTATAAACAATATATGTATGCATTAATTTCCTGTATGAATTTATTGTTCACCACTATCTCAGCATCTAAAGATGCATGGATGCTTCTAAGAAAGTGACGTATCTGTGTCGTGTCCGTGTTCGGACACCGACATTCTTTTGGACACTCCTAGGACAAGTGTCTGGTATCACTCTTCAAATGTATCCTATTTTTTAAATTTTTAAGGACCCGAACACTCTTTAACACTTAGAGACACACGTGTCTATTACTTAAACACACGTACCTATCAATTTAACACATGTGGAAATTAATTATAAGTTTGAACAAAACAACTTAAGACACAATAATAAAACAAAACCATATAAATTTATATTAAAATTAGTATCACATTACATTTTTATTATCTTTGAATGTGATATATTCATATATATAAAACATATAACAATATATAAAATTATATATTTCATGTGTGTCCTCCACGTGTCATGTCCTGCATCTTTTTTGAAAATAGCGTGTCGGCGTGTTGTATCCGTGTCATGTCACGTGTCTGTGTCCATGCTTTTTAGCTCAACATCCTTCTTGTAATGCCACCGTTTTCTCTTGGAAGCACAAAGATGCACAAATTTACTTAGTTTTCCCCACCCTCATCTATTAGTTCAATGCAACAACTTATTGAATTTTCCTGGTGATCAATGCAGCTACTTATAAAATTCACCTTCTTGAGCAAAATTTCAACCAATTACACAAAAAAAATTGGAACATTATGAAAAACAGAAAGGTCCAAGCACTATTCATGCAGATTAGAAGTAGATCTATCTTGAAATTAATCCCTGCTTATCCTCTTTAGTGAAAATATTATAATGAAATCTAAAGGCTTCTGTTATAATTAATTCTCCAATTTAAAATCCTTTTTAACCGTACCCACACTTGTCTTGTTAAAAGGACATTTTAATAGTAGTTCAAAGGTTTAACTCCTCCTTCAAGAGAAGAATGTTATAAAAAAAATTAATAAATGATTAGCTTATTTGCATTGCCTCTGGTGCATATTGCTAATTACACAAACTTAGACAATACCAACTTACAACAAGATGGGAAAAGGCTTAAGACATTTGAGATCCATTCAAATCAGAGACTAGCCCAACTAACATGCCTCTGGTATTATGTATTGTAGCTGAAATTTGAGACATTGCTGCTGTCTTAGCCCTTTCTGAGTAATTTGCTAAATTAAAAAAAAGAAAAAGAAAAAGAAAAAAGTACCTTGTTGAAGATATCATCTCATTTTCGAATATGTTAGTGTTCCTGCTAGTATATATCAATCTTGCATTGTTTCTGTTTGAGACTTACAGCTTCGTCAAATTATGTCTAATTTAGAATTTATTGTTTCTGTATGCACATAGATATAGAAGTAAAACAAGAGGGAGAACACACACATCCAAAAGCGACAGAATATTTAAATGTTCAAAACATTCAAATTGGAATCGGCAAATTCGCAGATATAAAAATGTAGCAAGTGGAGGTGATTAACAGGTAATATGAAGTTCATATTGTTGATAAATAAGAATCTGTCGCAGATATTAAACAATCA